AGCTCCACCAAAAGTGTTGATGGTAATGCAATTGTTAGGCCATGTGTGCAGTCAAGATGTATTACCTCAGAGCAGAAATGTCAGATGCTAGTGTGAAAATTATAGGAACTGAAAGGAAATGCAGGTATTTTGACATAATTATCATATTCTTTCCTAAGTATATTTCCATATTTTTCTGATTACTCAGAATTCTAATACAGATGATGAAAAGATTAAAGAACATGTTTGGAACATGTCAAAACAATAAGCTAAGAACATAGGTATTTGCACAGAAACACTAAGGAAAAAGAAAACATGGGTGTCTATCAGAAAAGAAAAGAAATTAGAAAAATGATGACAATTATACAAATATGAACATAGTACTGACATGTTGGATGGTTATAATTATAGAGTAGTAAGACTCAATGGAAACAGAACATTCAAAAGATAATAGTGTCTCTTTTTTTCTCTTTAAATTTTATAAGTTACCACTACTCAATGCATTTTTTTCCCTCATGGCAAATATCAAAATCTTTTCCTGTTTCACTGTTCAAATGCAATGCACTAGACCACATGCAACAATAAACAGAAAAAATCCAGGTCATTTCCAAATCAACTGGAAGTAATTTATTTAGCAGGCTGAACTTTAAAAATCATTTAAAGTTTGGAATTTTACAGTTCAAATAGTTGATAATAGAATCAATTTTTCCTAGGATATTTAGCAAGTTTTAGTCATTACATTTTAGGGCAAAAACCAAGGCAATATTTTGAAGATGCCTAGGGTAGGAGAGATGAACACATTAAAATGCAATTTGTTATATATCTTCTTTTGTATCAAAATTAGTTTTGCATTATTAATATAGAACCTTTACATAATATGCAAATCAGATTTTAAAGTAGGGTAATTCGTTTCAGTTATTAAACCAGAAATGCTTTTATCAAAATAATAGAGAATTTTATTGAGGAAAATTATACTTTTATATAGACCTTCAAGTAAAATAATTTTACAGTAAGTTATAGCAAAACTTAATTTCTGAATTTCTGAAAAAGGGTATTTAATAAATTTGAATAGCTAGTATAAATCAGAGATGATTTAGAATTAGATAAACATTATTGGAGTAGTCATTTAAATAAATTACTCATTTCTTTAACAAAGTTAAAAATTAGAGACCAAAACTTTAAATTTAATTTTATTTAAGGGAAAACAAAAACTTACAGATATTTGATATAAAAATGTCCACATGTGAAATACATCCCTTATGTGACACTAAGAAAAATTTTAGTGTAAGCTACAATACCATATTTAGAGATAAATCCCTGAATTCTAGTTTTAAAAAACCTGTATGATTTTGATTTGCGATTGTAGACTATCTTATATGTAGTATGAAAATACTGAGTCCAGTATTTTGTTGAATCCTGTATTTTTATTCATTGTATACACTTAAAGAAGTTGGAATTTGGATCACAGTTTATAATAAACTTTGCACAAATTTGTTATGATAACTTGTTACATAGAAAGTTATCCATAACCAAAAACAATTTTAGATTTACTGATTTTATACACTTCACTGCAAAACTTCCTTGGATCTGAATTTTTAACCAACTGGGATTTAATGTGAACCATAACCAGGGGGAATAAACAATGATAAATTAACATAAAACAAAAGTAATATCAGAAAGGCAAGACAGAGAGGTAGCACCTGTTATTAAAATATATCATTAAATAAAGTTTCTTTTTTTTTTTACCTTGCCCAAATCATCTAGTAACCTAAATCATGGAATTTCTAATCTTCAGTGGTTCTTGTCAAATTCAGTAATCAATAATACTATCCAGTATTTTTGTTAATTTTAAAGATATTTATAGCTTACTATTTTTTTAAACGAAACATTTGCTCAAATGCTTGTCATGATGTGATGATTCTTATAACTATTTATTGGTTATTATTTGTAGATTATATAACCATGTTAATTACTAGCTAGTGAATCTTTTTAAAAACATCATTGATAAGTATGAACAATTATCAAAATGGAGGATTTTCATTAGTATCTCTAGATTAAAATTCAATTAGTAATTTAGTGACAATATTTTATATAAATATAAAATCTAATAATTTGCCTTTTAAGTGCATAATTACATGAGATTATAGATAAACACAAATTCAAATTTTGTTCAGAAACTGGATTTTACTTTAGAAAATATACCCTAAAACAAAAATATATTTTAATAATTATCTTAAAGACATAATTATTCACTTCTATTTTTTCAGAAAAATTAATACAATGCATTGCAAAATGTTTGCCTGTGGAAATGCATCAATTTTTATTTTCCTGACCTTACTTCACATTGTAATACAGAATTAATTTTATAAAGGCAAAAATTTGATTTACTATAAAATTAGTAACATGGTTTCATTCAAAAGAAGCAAAAGATTTATAAAGGTAATATTTCCAGTTCATACAGAATTTTGATGGGCTTTAAATTCCCTATAAAGCATTGAAAAAAATTTTTTCTTCTTAGTATTGCTTTAAAATATTTAAAAGAGTTTCAAGTATTCTACAGATAAAGATTTTAGAGAACACTGAATTCTTTCCAAAAAGCTATTTTTAAGATTTTTTGTTTTTTGTTTTTTACTGCCTTGTAGAAAGTCTTGAAGATTTTTTCCCCCTCCAAAATCTCATTTTCACCTGAAATAATTGTGTTCAGGTTTTCTCAGCAGGTAAAGTATACGTACTTACAAGGTTTCAAATTTCAAAATTCCTATAATGCACTTAAACTAAGCACACCTCTTTGTGTGTGTGCCCGTCTATTATCTTGGAATTGTTATTTAGACTAAATTTTGGTCTTTTTAGCGCCTCAAAAATGCTTTGGTGAACCCTCAGCAGTTGCTAACCACTTAATAATTGTGACCCCGTCAGCCCCTTCAAGTAGATCGTTAACCACAAGAGTGCTTGACAATTTCCAAACCATATCCTCTGTCCAAAAGGAAAGATAGGGCTTTGGGAGGCCAAAAGGAAGCAAAGGAAAACAAAACAAATGTGGCTTATGCTGAAAGTGAAAAGTGCTTGGACAGAATAGTATTTTCTTTTCTGCAAGGCACCCTGCCAAATTTCCCCCCTTTCTTAATAGATGAGTTATTATTTTTTGGTTTGATTTTTTTTTAGTTTCTTGAAAAGTGTTGGTATTCACCAGCCCCACTGGCCCCTCATCATTCGTGTTTATTGTTTTGTGTTTTTCCCATTGGTCCACAACACAGGCGGCTGATACCCCCGCCTCACCCTGTCAAAACCCCAACTCTAGGTGACCCTCAGTGTGGAAACTCCGCCGACTCCCGACGACACATCCCACTCTCTGCCTCTCGTGCCGCTTCTTTTAATCGCGGGATCCTCCACTCCAGTACCAGCGAAAACCGGAAATTTTCATTTAGCACCCCCACCCCGCGCCCTTCTCGCCCCTCAGAGAGAACTGCTGGGGAGCTGCGAGGCTAGCAGCACAGCGGGCTTGGCCGCCTCCCCTCTCTCCGGAAGGCTTCAATTTGCACACTTGCTGGCCACCGCGCCGCGCGACCCCAGCCCGGCCAGGCCCAGCTGCGGGGTGGGTGTCCGCCCCCCGCGCCCGCCCCCCAGGCCCCCACCCCCGGCCGCAGTCCGGAGGCCCCCGCAGTCCGGAGGCCCCCGCGGTCCCCAGCGCGCGGCGCGGGCGGCTCCCTCCGCCGTCCCTCCGCCCTCCGCCGTTGTGCCCACCCCCTCGCCTCGCCGGGGAGAGGGCCGGGCACTCCTGCCCTGGTCGGGGTACCTGCTCCGTGCTGGGGACACGTGCGGAGGTCTTCCCTACACGCGCCCCACTCGGGAGGCCCGACGCGACTGGGAGCCTCAGGTTAGGCGCTGTGGGCTCGGGTGGGTGGGCTGCGGGAGGTTTCGGGGGACCTCCGGGAGCTTGCCTGGGTGGGAGGTGAGGATGTGGGTTGGTGAGGTGGGGGGGGGGGCTATGTGTCCTTGGAGTGGCTCTGGTTAACCCTTTAGGGGACAGCCCGCCGGAGCCAGAGAGGAGTATCATCTAATCTGGAGAGACGGGGCCATCCCACACTAGGGACACCCCCGACACCGAGATCCTGTGCCAGCTCCCACAAAGCCGTCCCCACAAACACCCACACGTACACTCTTCATCTAGTTTCTCCAAAAGGAACTTCGATTCCACTCGTACACTCACATCAAAATCCACAGAGGGTTTTAAAGGTACTGCGGGGGGGGGGGGGGGGGGGACACTCCAGGCCCGAAAGTGTTTCCGTGCCCCATATTTACTTCCCCACAAAAGCTCCCCCTTCAGCTTGCTGAGGTGTGGGCTCCATCCTCCCCACAGTGAAGTAAATGTTCACGCAGGCTTCCTGCTGGCAACTCCGCGGCCGTGCTATGTGTGCACAGAGTGCACGCCGCCGGCCGGTGCACAGGCTTGAAGCCCCGCAAGGACGCACGTTTGCTTGATTTCCAAGTTGCTTTTAAAAATTATTATTTAAAATATCGGCGTTGAGAACGCGCGCCCGGCCGGAGCGCGCCCCTCCTCGTGCACATGGGCGCCTCTGCGTGTGCGCACGCGGGGGAGTCGCGGTCCCCGGTGCGGCCTCTCCTCGCCGCGCTGGTGGCGACCTTTGCGGTGCTTGGCAGGCTTCGGGAGAGGCACAAGAAGGATTTCATTGAGTGTGAAGACAGAGAGCAGAGACAGAAAGCAGAAGGAGGCGGCTGAAGCCTTTGTAGTCGCGGAGGAATGCGGAAATGTTGAAGCACTATGTCAAACTTTTTTGAAATGGGGTCAAGTCACATTCAGCCAGCGTGGGAAAGCAACAACAACAACAAAAAAAGTGGAGGAGAGGGGGGGAAAAGGCAGTGCTGCTCGCGTTTCCCGGCCCCAGACTGCAGTGCCGGGGACGCGGGGGTGCGGGCGGGGGCGGGGGCGGGGGCGCGGGCGCAGCTCCCCGCGGGGGTGGGACGTCCCAGCGCTTCCTTCGCCGCCGGCCGGGGCAGGACTTGGCGGGCGAGGGCGGGGGCGGGCCGGGCGCTTGGCGGCTGGTCCCCTGCTACCTGTGTGGCCCTAGACCTGGCTTGGACCCCCGGGCGGGCTCCGGGGGCTCTTCGCTGGGCTGTGGAGGAAAGCCGTGAAAGGAGTGTGCGGCTCTGTCCTCGCTACGGTTACTCCGCCCGCACACGGTGGGGGTCGCGCCGCGCCTCGTTTCTTTAATTCCTGGCAGACGGTGAGCGGGCCGGGGTTGTGGGGCAGGTAACTGCGAGAGGTCCCGGGAATTCGTCCTTCGGCCGGCAGGGCGAATGTCGGGCTAGGCTGCCGCGGCAGTGGGGGAGGGAGGTTCCCCAGGTCCGAGATCGACTGACTGGGAAGGGAATTTAGGGTGCTCTCTCCTCCGAGAGCTTTGTTGTGCAGAGGTGGGGGGGGGGGTGGCCGGCTGCCGACGAGACCTGGCCTCCAGCCGAAGGGGGAATGGATCCGCCCCACCTCCGCTACCTCCGCAAAGTCCTGTTGGCAAAGTAAGGTTCCCTGGTCCGGGCCCCGAGGGCACAGCCCCTTCCCTGTCACCCTGGGAAGCGCAGCTTTTCCTGTCCCCACCCCCACCCTTTTAAAGAGAGTTTGTGTTTTTGCCTGGGTTGAAATTGAAAACTTAAGGGCGAGTCATGGTTTTGCTGTCTTTCTCCTGACGTTATTCTTTACGGACACGACAAGCCCAAGTATGACGGATACCCCTTTCCCCCACTCTTGGGATCCCATGGGGGACGCCCCCCCCGCGCGACCTCTTGCCCGCCCACCCTGGAGTGGCCCCAGCCCTCCTGACCAGATGGCTTGTCTTCCTTCCCCCGACTTCCACCAGGGAGGTCCTCCACTCGGAGGGAGCACTGCTTTTCACACCAAGACTCCTTCACCCCCTAAAAGATCATTCGCGTGTGCGAGACGTTTTTAAATGTCTCCTCGTAGAAAAACTGAAAGTAGAAAGAAAGGAAGCAATTTCTGAGCAGATGTCTGACCACCCATTCTCGCACACTCCCAGCATCGGGTTACAGGGTCCTGCGGGCCCCCACCCACATTCTGCGGCCCCACGGGACTGAACCCAATCCTTCCACACCGGAGTTTGCACGTCCTGTATCGCCACCTCCCCACCCCTCTCCCTGAACGTCCCGGCCCTGGAGGGGAGGAGGGCAGCAAAGCCGGCGATCATCAAGGTATAAATATGAATCCGTGACATTGACGTGCCCGGCGCCTCCCCTCCCCCGCGCTCCCGGCACACTCTGGGCTGCTCGGCACGCCCCCTCCCGTTCCACTGCGTCCCGCGCGGCGCGCTCATCCCCGAGGGGCCCCTGCAACCTCTCCGCGTGAAGCCGGCTCCCTCTTTGCCGGGGAAGGAAAGTAACGAGAAACCAGGAAGGCTTTGGCGGCTTGCGAGAGGGCCGGAGCGCGCGGAGGGTAGCGTGGGGAGCTTCAGACAGGAGGAGGAGGGGAGTGTGGGGGAACCCTGCGTGGGGCGCCTGGGATGTCTGATTGCGCTTTCTTGTTCTCTCGCCCCCTATTTTAGGTGCCGAGATTGTGGACGGAGACGCGCTGGGGCAGAGACTATGTGATCGCGTCGGTATCTGAGTAGAGGACTTCGCTTCGGGGAGGGAAGAGGAGGGATCGGCGCGCTCCTCCGCGGCGGCGACTCGGCAGGCGGAGTTTCGCGGCGGCGGCGGCGGCACCGAGGTTGCGCCAGCTTGCGGGGAGGTCGCTGCATCCAGCCTCGGCGGCCGCGAGAACCCCAACGTCTGAGCCAGTCGGTGCGAGGGGAAAGCGAGACCGAACTCCGGGAGCACGGGAGAAGTAGAGCGAGCGAGCGCACCCCGCCCGCCCCAGCGGCGCAGCGCCGGACGGCGTCCAGGCGGCATGGAGAAGGACGGCCTGAGCCGCGCCGACCAGCAGTACGAGTGCGTGGCGGAGATCGGGGAGGGCGCCTATGGGAAGGTGTTCAAGGCCCGCGACCTGAAAAACGGAGGCCGGTTTGTGGCACTGAAGCGCGTGCGGGTGCAGACCGGCGAGGAGGGCATGCCGCTCTCCACTATCCGCGAGGTGGCGGTGCTGAGGCACCTGGAGACCTTCGAGCACCCCAACGTGGTCAGGTGAGTGGGAGCCGCGCCCTCGCCGTCTGGAACCGCGCGCCAGGGAGGCCTGCCTGTTCGCGGCCCTCCGGCCCGGGAAAGTGCCCGGCGGGAGGCAGTGGGAAGGCCCGGCGCCACGTCTTGACCGGTCGGAGCTGCCAGCCGGAGCGGTGCCCTTGCTAGACGGCCTGCGCAAAGACCAGGGGGATAGGAGATCTGCGCAGGCTTCCCCACAGCCCCCCAACGCCCAAGTGCTTTCTCCCTGCCCTCCCCGAAGGAGCTTGGGGCGGCTGGTTGCGTTTTAGGGACGGAACCAGTCAGTCTGAGATGTGCCCCGCCAGCCCCCGCGTATTTTTCCCTGTCATGGGGGAATTTTGAGAGACTGAGAGATGTAGCAGGTTGCGGTGTGGTAATTAGTAAGAAGGGAACTTTAAGGGTGGAGCCCAGTGTAAGGCTTAAGAAAATGCAGAAACGTATGTTTGCCAATCATACTCGTGGTTTCTTTTTTATTAAAGTTTCATAATAAGAATGACTTTTGAAGGTTAAGGAGTTTCAGTGCTGTCGCCCAGTGTCAAACAATGTCATTTTAAAAGTATCTTCCAAAAGTAGCACCTGTCTGAGGTACTTAATCTCACTGGACTGACGTATTTCTTAGACTACTTCACCTAAGGTTTAGACGCGAATCCAAGAGGTGGTATCTTTAGATACCTTGCTTTCCCTGGATGTGTTGTGCATGGGGGTGGGGAGGACGCAGTCCACAGTCTCTCCTTTGTGTAGTAACCAGTGTTAAAGGGTGTGTGACTTAGGATGATTATGTTTTCTTAGTAATCCTGGAATTTCCTCATTGTGTGGTTGTGTTGTCTCTTTTAAAAGAGAGGTACATACCTTGAAGTTGAAAAGGAATGCACAGAAACTCCTACAGAATGGGTTGTGATTTAACCTTTCTCAGCTCTACTGTGTTGGATAGAGGAGATTTTGGAATCTTGTTCCCGTCTTCCATTCATCTAGGGGACCTGGTCAAGCATATGCCTACTGTGGGTGCTGTAGATGAAATTATGTAAATAAGCACAGCTAAATATTTTTGTAAAAAGTCAAACAATTTCATGTTAGTCATCAAAATGGAGAAACCCAAGACTGACCTTTGAAATACCATCCACTCTACAGACTTAGGGAACCTAAGTACCACTGAACCTTCCTGCGAGGTTTAACTTGGCTCCTCTTATCCTAGGCTGGGTGATTTGTGTGATGCTTTGTTCCCAACACAGTTAAACTTAGTCGACAGGGCAGCAAAGAATGCTAAATGTGTAAGTAAGGTAGAAAAGGGCTGTAAATATAGGACCCCATTATACTTCTAGCTAGTTAAGGATGGGGGAGCAAAAGATAATGAAACTGAGAGAATGGAAGATAGGATTTTATATAAAAGCAGTAGATTACCTTTTGTGTGTGCAAGTTTGTTGAAAAATAACAAAACCTATTTGAGGAGGGAGTCTTTGTGATATTGGAGGGGAAAAGGAAAGAAGGGTATATTTAGTTACTTTCCCAGAGGAGTCACTGAAACTCTTCCCAAAGGATCCACCACTAAAATTTTAAGACCAAAGTTCTTTTATTTTTTATACCTGTGAAGTGTACAAATGAAATAATGTTCTCCCAATGAGGGGCTATTGCAGAGGCACCCCTGTGTAATGCCATCATTTGCAAAGTCAAATCCATTTTTCTAACAGAGGAAGGTGGTTTTTGACATCTTGTGGTAGATTTTCACCAATCTATCCATTCTCTTGATTTATCAGGCCTTTACAGACTAGTGTAACTGATCTAAGACTTGGATTCTGATCTGTGAATATCAGGAGGCTATACTAACGAACTGAAGACAAAGGTGTAGTTTCCTGAAATTGTTTTTACTTGTTCAACTGTAATGACACCTATGTCTTGCTTTTGTGAGGATAAAGTGAGATAGTGTATGTGAAAGCACTCTGTAAATTTAACAGTTCTTTAAGTATCTGAATACTGTATTTGTATTTCAGTAGATTAGTGGGACTTTTGTCCTGTAAGAGGTTCCCAAGAAGCCATCAGTTTATAGAACTAATCATATTCAAACCCAGATACTACAGACTTTGGAACTAAGAAGATACTTACTTGAGTATAATTAGCTTGAAGTTTGTCGGGAAAAGGCTATCATTCACATTCATGAAATTGAATGACACTTGAGGAAATTATTGATGAGATCACCCTCACGAGTTACACATCTCCATTCCCTTTTTGCTTTCTTCCTGTTTCTTTTTTGCCTCTGCCTCTGGGCAACCACTGCTCCCCATGACTTTCTTGGCCAGACCAGGCATTCTGGATTTTAGAGGTGGCTCATATTTTTTCAGGGAGGGTCAGGAAGTCAAGTACAAATGACAGTTCTTTTCCTTCCAAGGGAAAGTGTCAAGGTTGGGCCCCAAACCTATAATTTGTTGTTGTTCCTAGGATAAGTTCAAGTCTTATTCTTGGTTCTTTAAAAGTTGCTTAAAAGGGCAGATACCTTTTTTAATGCCTTCAAATCGTAATTGATCATAATTATAGGCCATCCTCACAGATAGCCGAACTTCTAAACTTGAAGAACAATAAACATGTTGGTTTTTTTCAAAAGTTTTACATTTAATTTTGATGGATTTGCCAGAAAAGCTGACTTGTTATTGCTGGCGCAGGTACTGCATATATGCACAAGGATAATGGCTTGAAATTCTTGCTTCCTGCTCTTGATGTCTCCCAGGCCCTTGCTACATCAGCCAAACAGTGTCTGGGATGTAAATTTACTCTTATTTTGCAGTTGGTAATCCCAAACTCTGAAGCCTTTGCCAGAATCAGATTTCAGTATGAACTTATATTGGAGCTTCTGAACTCCACAAATGGGTTCTGTTTTCCATTCTCAACTAAAACATTTATATAGACATAAAATAATACATGTTTTATCAACAGTTTATTTACCACATGCCAGATTCTTCTAGAAGCTGAGGATATTGGTGTAAGTCAGAAGTCTTTACACTTGTACAACCTGCCTTGTAATGGGATGCCCCCTCTTTTTTGTCTTTAAAAATTTCAGTTGTCTTATTTTGCTATATTTAACCTAATTTTACAAAGCAACTAAGTTTTGTGATAGTTTAGTTACCAGGAATTTGCTGGTTGATAGGCAAGATAACCAAAACTCTAGTCAGAATAAGATACTTTTCAAAGATTAAATTTCAGATTAGACATTGGCACATAACTAACGTCAATATTTGAGATCTTTTTATTCAACAAGTGTTTGGAAAGCCACCTTCCTTAAAAACCAGGGGACTAGATGTTGGGGAGATATATGGGTAAATCACACCTGGCTATTCCCATCAAGTGGTTCCCCTGAGTTTGAAGGAATGAGCTAATCATTATAAACCAATACATGCTAGTATCATGTGCCATATAAGTGAGGTATAGGTAAGGACCACCTGTATTATCTCCAGCTATTTAATTTATTAGTGTAGCAGTAATTCAGATTCAAATACTGGTTCCATAATAGGTAGGTTATTGCATATCCGTGGATAAAATTGTGGTATCTAAATATCTAAATATGGTAGATTGCTATTATTAGAATATTTAGTCATTGCTTTAAAAACAAACAAAAACTCCGAAGAAAACAAAGAAACAGCTGTACAGCTCAACCATTATTCAAGGAAATTTTTCTAATTTTTTCCTTAAAAATCTCAGTAATATATACATAAGCAGAGTAAAACTATGATTTTTATATTTAAAAATCATTAACAGGGTAAAAAAAACATGGCATATTATTTGACTTCATTGCAAATCCAGGTGTGTAAGTAGGTTATGGGAATCCCTATGGATAAAAATGTTATTTTGTGGGTAAATACTACACTTATTAGGACTTGTTTCAGTAAAATTAGGATTTTAAGTCTCTGTTTAAATTTCAGTATGTTATAAAAATATATTCTATCATTCTCTAAGAGTTTCTTGAAAAGGTTCCAATTTATCAAGGTTGTTTAGTGTATAAACATTTTCACATATGGTGTTCTGGTCATTCCTTCTTCCTCCAGAAGAACTTGATAATGCTGAATTTTTGACTTTGCAGTTATATACTTTTTATGTAATTATCACCATGGAATTGAGGGTACTTTCCTTTTTAAGATTTTGGTAAATGATATTTATAGATTTCTTATTAACAATAAATTCTAATTTTGAAAAAAAATGCCTCATTGTTAATGATTCTTTAGGAATGCTTTTTTAAAGACCAAAAACATCCCATTCTTATGCTGTATCATTGTAAAATCATGTATATCAGGTTTAGAAGTCACTTTGTAAATCTTTCGACCTTTTTATGTTATGGATAAGGAAACCAAAGCCCAAACATCAAGCAGCTCATCTGTCATGTCATTGCAAAATTGTTGACTTTTTCTTTAATCTGAGTTGCAAGTGAACGTTTTTGTTTGTTTACTGGAAGAAGGTAAATCAAATCAGTACATTACTAGTTTGGGAAGAAATGAACTGTATGTAAACAAAGATGATGATTTGCAAGGAATAAATTACGCTATTCGTGCAGGAAATTCTTGAATACTGCACTATGCCCTATTGAAGTATATCTGTTAAAAAAAGGATGATGGTTACATTAAATTCTGCTTTTAGAGAATTTGTGTTGTAATTATGTTCATTTAAATAGCTGTAACTAAGTAGAAATACAAGTAAATATTGTAACTAACTCAGTAATATTACTCATTTTAGACAAAGAACAGTAGGAAAAATCAAAATGTTTGGTACTTGTTTGATGAATGAAATATCACAGTATGGCTTTGGCATCTACTATCCAGGCCATTCAATGAAATAAACATCGTAAAATGTGGAAAATTTGACCACATAACACGTAAATATATGTTACTTATGCTTTATGAGGAACTAATTGTACTGTTGTTATTTTTTTTAAACAATAAGTTTATTGTCTCTTGGTTCTTTTTTTATTTTAATTTTTTTATTGGTGATTTGTATCTGTACATGATATA